CCTTCCCTTTGCTTTCTCTCTGTAGTTTTTCATTATTTACAGGACCTTTCTCTAGGGTTTGTTTGTTTGTTTTTGTTCTTTTTTTTCTCACTCTGTTTTTCTGTAAACCTTAGATTGTAGCAGTGATCATCAGATATCACCCAAGGAAACAACTGGCTCTCTAATATTTGTTTTGCTTTAACACAAGTGCATAAAAAACCTTCTAGTGTTTCATTTCTCCTTCAGCCTGCATATTGTGGTGCTCCCACATAGATCTGAGTAGCCTCACTGCTGGAAATGAAAATGCATCTGTCTTCAACATCCATAAATAAAATTGATTTAGGGGCCTGTAGCTGTTATCAGTTTGTCCTGAGGGAATTAAAGTAAAAAGCCACCAATTTTTTACACTGAAAATATGAGATATGCATGTAAATTCTCAACTCCTGAACTCCCACTCTCCTTTGCAAAGAATAATTTTTGTGTTGGAATTTTTTTTTTACTGGTATAATACAAAAGGGAAAAGATAAATGATGTGATCTCCCTTGGCTGAATCTCCAGCAAGGGCAAACTTGCAGAGCTCAGAAAAAATTCAGCCTGAATTTAATCTGTAGAAACTGATCTTTGTTTACAGGAAACTGTTGGCTTTGTCTTCAGCAGGGCTGGAAATGTAAGTGGTTCATCATTATTATGTCATCCAGATATGACAGTAATGAAACTATATCAAAACCTATCCCTAAACTCACAAAAAATGAAATAAAACAACTATTGAAGTGTTCAGTTCAATCGTTCTGCCACATTTGTTGTTTTGACTGTTGTTTTTTACAGGGTGTTCCCCAGGGAGAGAAGGAAAGGGGAAGATAAATTGTGGGAATGCCAAGAGGGAAGGGCATTAAACCTGAGGAAATCAGTGAGAAAAACTAAAATTTCTGAGGAGGCCTCTTGGGTCTGGCAGGAAAACAAAACAAAATGAAACAAAATAAAACAAAACCTGAAAAAAATGAAGGCAAATCCAGACTGCAAAATGGTGCAATTTTTCAAGCACAATGAACAATCTGCAGATGTAACAAAGCAACATGCAGCAAGTTTTCCATCAGAAATGACCAATTTGTGAGACAGAATATAACCTGAGTGAGTCAAAACCAATACTGGGGAAGTTGAATTGAAGAATTATTGAAGAAGTCCGAGTGGGTGGCTCCAGAGAGCCCTCTGAGCCTCATCACCTCCACATCCAAGTGCTTAAAGCCCCAGCTGACAAACACACTCAAGCAGATGCCTGTTTTTAATCCATTTAAGCCAAAAGGATGATTCAATTATCTATAATTACAATTAAAAAGCTACATAAATACTTTATGAGAGAGAGGGAGGGAGTGGGTTTGGTGTCCTCGTGGTACCTTGAGCAGAATATTGTGTCTGTGCGTGGCCATCACACCCCTCTAGAAAATTCCCTGCAGTGTTTTGTTTCTTACTGGAAAATCCCACAAAAATCTACTTTTGGATGAGATCTGTCTAAGGACTCTCCATGAGACTTGAGCTTTAGTATAGGTCTCTATTAATTTGGTGGGAGTTCTTTATTTGACTTCTTATAGTACGTATTATGAATCTGTTAAGATTGTGGTGGTATATTTGCAGTCATAAGGCACTAGATCATAATTATTAAAAGTGGTTTTTAATTGTTGCTTGAAGTAGGGAGAGCTTAAGCTGCTCTCTTTAATTGTTTGTCCCAAGTCTTTAATTATGTCGTGTGTCAGTGGTATCTATTTGGGATTTGTATCTTGATTGCCCTATTTTATTGGTATGGCTATTATTTGTGTTGATGTCATGTCAAAATTGCCTTCCTTTAATGTTTTTTTTTTTTCTTTTCTAATCTCTGCTTAACTGGTAGAATTTGGTATGTCTCTTGAAGGATCTTTTGTATTATTATTTGAGCTGACGCTTGGAATACAAGGAAATGGGACTAATTCTCTGTTTGTATTCTGTGGGTTTGTGTCTCCTTCTTCAGGCTTTGAGGCTGTATTAATTCCTTCATTCCTTGTGCCTAGAAACAAATCTAACAGGTTTGGGACACCTGGGAAGAGAAGGAGTGACACAGACACCTGTGCTGAGCTTCCTTGGTGTGGAACAAGGGGCCTTGTGCAGGTTCTGGGTTTAAAATCATTTAAACCTGCTCCATTTAGTGATAAAAAAAACCAGCCCTGCTTGTCAGCTCAGGTTTTCTGCCTAATGAAAATGGGTTGATTTTTTCACCCGAGCAGCAAGACTTCTCTTTCCCCCAGGAGAGAGTTTATCCACGAAGTAGGACCAAGGACTGCCCATCACTCTGCAAACATCACCCTGTGCTGGCTCACACCATCACTCAATGATGCTCATCACATATATTTTAAATTTTGGCTGCACTGGCCCTGAAATGATTACAGCCACATTCTCAGACACTGTGGCCCATATAAGTGCTCAATAAATTAATTTTTCAGGGTGTTTTTTCATGTTGAATTCTGTAGCAATGCAATTCTCATTGAGTTTAAAATGGTGGAGAGTTAACACCACACCTGAAGTGTCCCAAACTAGGTAAAATTAAGTAAAAATGCAGTAAAGCCTATTAAAAAGGGTTTTTTTATTACATAAACATTTTCTTGTGTTGAAGTTCCTACTTGATTGAAGCATTGACACATTTGCTGGTGGAGAGCTTAATGTGTTTTTGTGTGGCTAGAGCACAAAACATAATTTAAAGTCTTCTTACTGCAGCAGGCAATATCAAATTGAGGACTTTGGTAGAAATGCTGGGAGAGGTTTCTATTAATTTGGATTTTATAGCCCTAAATCTGTTCTGGAAGGAGGATGTCTTTACCCTTTCATTCCCTGAAGGAACTGAGTGTGGCACTTCCTCGTCTAATGAAACACTTTTATTGCTTTGGGTTCTCCCTGTTCTAAAGAGTAGCAGTGAGAGCATTCAGCAAATTGTTTGTTCAAATCTGAACGAGCTCAAGGCCACATCCATCACACACATGGCCTTCAGTGAATTGTGCATAAAATCCTGACTATATGAGTTAGTACCAGGTTTCCCAAGTCAAGCTTTATCCTGCAAGTTCAAAGCACAAACTTAACTCACACCAACCTAACCCAACCCAACCAAGCCCACAGGAGCACAGTGGATTTTATAACAATTTTTGATAACAGATGAATGTTAGGAGAGGCATTTTGTGTCAGTATTTTTCGACTGTGGCCTAAAATGTTGTCCAAAACACTGGTTCAAGACTGGTGCAGATTTTGCAAGGGGTATGCTCAGCCTAATGTGGTGGAGACAGATTTATCCCAAATGATTTTATAACTGTTATGTATCATCCAGCCATTCACCCTGAGCTGGCAATTAACTCCAAAATCTTCTTATGGGGAGAAACACAAAAATGTTGTACCCATGGGCTACCTGAAAGTGCAGGTATTCTGGATTCTGCAGGAATATTCTGTATTTACACCCAGAAATGTTTCTGCATGGATGAGAAGCAAACACTTCTCACTCAGCTCTCTGCAACTGTGCCTCAGTCCTGATCCAGCAAAATCCCGTGCAAACTCCCACAGAATTGAGAGTTGGGCTCACACCCCATGGCCTGTCCTGGCTTGGCTCCTCTGCCAATTGGCATTGACAATTAATTGTGGCAATTTATTCCAATTTCCATGTCTTTCTACCCATTGATGGACATTCACAAGAAAATCCCATTCCAAGAATCCAGATCCTAGTGAATCACAGAGAGGAAGAAGCACACAGGGAAAGGAATCATGCTGCACACAGCTCTTGGGAAAAGCTGAGAGGAGGCTGCTCTGGGTTTCAACTGAGAGATGATCAATCAGAAAGGTCATTATAACAGCAGGGATAACTCACACTAAGGATACAGGAAAGCAAGGAAGAAATTGGGTGGATGGGAAAGAGAATATTTTTTTCTGGTGGTGTATGACATAAAAAACAAGTCCAGAGGTATCAGCAAGCAGCTCATCTAATGCTCTGGGTTCCTGGTTTGGTTTTTTTATTTTTTTTTTTCCCCCTGCATAACTTCTGATCACATCTCTGCATTTCGGTGATTTCCATTTCCTGCCTAAATTTATTCATGACTGGTGTCCTCTTACGTCAGTGTTGTCTTTAGATAAACAGCCCTTCTCCCTCCTTAATGTTTGCTCCAGCTGATAACACTGAGTTTGAAAGGCAAAAAAAAAAAATAACCCAAATCCTTTATTCCCCTTATTTATCATCCCAGTAGGGAAATCTCACAGTTGCAGACAGCGAGCGTGGGACACTGAGTCAGATGAAAAATGGATGATGATGTCTGCACATAGATTTCCTGCCTGAAGTCCTGCAGGAATCTGGTCACTGGAGCCCAGAGAATCACCCACATGCAGGTGCCTTCTCTCAAAGGATTTAACAGCATTCCAGACTTCAGGGAACAGATTAATTAGATTAATTAGAGCCCACTATCTATGGATGCACGTAACACACACAGCTCGTGTGTAAGTACTCACCCCATAGATAACTAAAATGAGTTATGTGAATTTGGATCTGACTCCCATTTTATTGAATCCCTAAACACAAACCTCCTTTGACCAGGATATCCAAGAAATGAGCATGTGGCTGGGAGATGGACACAGGACTCACAGGAGCCCCAAAATCTTGTACAACCTCACTTGTGGGTTTGATCTGATAAAATCCTTAAGGTTTGAAAACACCTCTAAGACCATCAAGTCCAGCTTCAGAAAGGACCAGATATAAAAATATATATACATTTTATATATAAGGACCATATATAAAATATATAGGACTCTTTATATGCAAAGGACCATATATAAAATGTATATAAATTGATTATCAGAGTCTGATAATCAATTTATTCCTTCTCCATATAAGTCAAATGGCAGCAATCATGGTTATTTTTTTTTCCCTTCAAATTAGAAAGTACCACCTCACATGCATTTGCAAGGCAATTTTGGTGAATTGCTTAAGAGGGGCAACAAAATGAGGTGGAAGTTTTGAGGCTACTTACTGAACTCACGAAGCAGTGCTCAGACTCCCCACTTTCAAACAGGATGACATCCTTGATGAAGACTGCGATGGCTCTCATGATGAAGGACATGAAGAGGTGCATGTGAATGTAATTTCGAGTACAGTGTAGTTTTCTGTTGGAAAGAAATGAAACATTTCTGAATAGCAAATCTTCTCAAAAGCATTTTTTTTTATATTTACATGTTTCTTCAACCATGACATAGAGTCACAATTAAACATTAGAAGCCCTGGGGCAGGCTCTGGTCTGATAAACATCACCACAAATACACTTAATTCTCTTTAATTGCACAGAACGTGGCAATTCATGTATCTGTAGCAGTACTGCTGCTTTTTCAATCCTCAGAAAAACAGGAAAAATACAGGATGACAGAAAGCAGCTCCATCCCACTGCTCTCCACTGGAAAAGAAATGTTTTTGACTGAGCAGACTGTGCTCATGATAAAGGGCTTTTTTCTACAGAATGTTTCTGCTGCAATAATTCTTTTCAAAGTGAAACGTTTCGTCAAGCAGACAAATAAATTCTTAGCATCTGTTGCCAGAATTAACGCATATTACAGACTTTCTGGAGCAGTATGAACTATATTTTCACTTAAAAATTACTGGTTGTTAATGATACTGAGAACTACACCAGAGTTTTTCTATCCCTTGCCTGCTAATATTTTGAAGATGAATTCTGATCAAGTAGGAGGTTTTTTCAAGAGAGAGTTTATATCAGCTAAAGTGAAAAGCCTAATAGTCTGGAAATGGGTACTTTGTACAGACACCAGAACCATAGCAGAGCTCACTGAGCAGCGATTTTAAATTACCACCTCTTAACGAGCCACTGGGCGCTGGCAGAGGTTGTGCTGCTAATCTCTGATGATGGCAAAGTAATGGGGCTGAGCTGAGTCCTCTGTGCCTGCAGGCCAGGGCAAGTCAAGTTGAGCTGTTTGCCACCAAGACCAAACAGGATCCTCAATGGTTTCACCAGCCTGGCTGGCACCTTGTACCTCGTGGAGGGAATTGGCATGTGTCTGATGGACTCCTCCATGGTAAGAGGAGTGGAGAGAGCACATGGGAGGAAAAGTGCTGAATTCCTGAAGGGTGAGGCCGGCTTTGGTGTGAGTTACACTAGAAAATGTGCTCTGTCTTACGTGAGAGATAGAGCCTCATCCAAAAGGCTCTTCCATCTCAGCTTTTTGATGATCTCCCTTTACATAAATTAATTTATAATAGGAGATAATGTATATGTAGACTCCTCCATTGGAGGCACCCAAATTTAGATGCCTGAATCTATTGCAAAAAATAGAAAGCAAGAATTAATCCATTTGCTGCAATCTGGGGTTCCAATGCCACTTGATGAGCTGCAGAGTATCTGTCCATCCATCCATGAGGTCCTGGGTCTCCTGAAGGCCCTGCATCTTATCTGTCACACTTGTGCTTATCTCAGGGACACCAGCAAGTGTAAATGGTCCTGCATGTCTCTGTCACGCCATAGGGTGACAGCAGAAAGTGTTTTTGGAAGAGACTTTGGGAGGAAACAGGCTGTCCAGAGAAGCTGTGGATGTTCCATCCCTGGAAGCGTCCAAGGCCAGGTTGGATGGAGCTTGGAGCGACCTGGGATAGTGGAAGGTGTCCCTGCCTGGGGGATGGAATGAGATGATCGTTAAGGTGTGGTCCCTTCCAACCCAAACCATTCTGGGATTTTTTGATCCTGGATATTTTTGGATGCAATTTTGGATACCATTTTGAGTACCTACTTTAGGTGGAATTTCCATGATATCCATATACAGGACTCTAGACTGTAACCCTCTAACAGAGATCCATCATAGAACAATCTGCCTTTGGTGACATAAATTCACCTAAATAATTAGATTTGGGTTACAACTCCCACAAAAATGTCACAAGTCACGCGCCAAAACACAGCGACACTGAAAGATGGAGGAACCTTGTTCCTTATCCAACACAGACTGAAAGAAATCTTGGGCATCTTCCTGTAACACTCGTAGCCTGTCCAGACTTTGAGTCATTCCCTTCCCTGTGCCTTTCTGTGCTGGTGGGTGTCGGAACCCTGGTCTGGTTCAGGGGTTCCGTGTGGTGGTAAAGTCTCTCCTCCAACCTGTGCTTCCAAAGAAAAACTCTGCAGCCTCTTGTTGTTCGGTCTCAAGGCAGTTTATTGCAAGTTATCTAAAAGATTTTCTTCTCGGGCTGCTGTGGTTTGCTCAGCAGCTCAGGCAGAGGCACACACACCTCTGACACCCTCACTGCCTGGTGTCTTCTTCTTCTCCCTCCCCGCCCAGGGCTGCTGCTATCTTTTATATGATATATTATGTGAAACATGTTTACAGTTTTTCCCCAATACCTACTACCTATATTAAATGGTGCTTTTCTACTCTAAACCAATCCATAAGTGCCAATATCATCAAGAACATGGAGGTAAGGAAGAAGAAAGAGGAGGAACAGGACCGGCCTACATTCCTCCATCTTAAAACCTCTGACCCCCATGTACAAAGTAAAACCCCCCCCTGTACAGGTGTTAAAACCCCCCTGTACAATACTAAAAAATTCTTCCCTCTACTTTGTAACTACTTCTATTATAATATCTAAACTTTTGTGACTGCTTGTTCCACCTTCAAAGTTGGTAACTCATTCCATGGCTCAAACTCAAAATCACAGCTGTCTCCAGCTGCCTGCCAGGGTCTCAAATGCCTCTGACCAGGGCCTGGAACCTCCAGAAATGTCTGAGGGACATTTTGAGTCCCAACAGGTGGCCTTACCTGAAGAGACACAGAATGATCATGGCAGCCGTCAGGGCGATGAGGGATAAGGTGTGTCCGATGGTGTAGCCGGTCTTGACTGTTCCGTAGAACGCCGTTTGCTGGTGTGAAAGAAAGAAAACAGGGCTTTCCAAGAGGTCCAAAAATCCTAAACAAAGCATCACTGACTGCTGGGATAAGGAAATCATCCTTCTCTGACAGAGCTGCTGCTATCTTTTATATGGTATATTACGTGTTAAATCTTTACAGTTTTTCCCCAATACCTATTACCTATATTAAATGGTGCTTTTCTACTCTAAACCAATCTCTAAGTGACAACATCATCAGGAACATGGAGGTAAGGAAGAAGAAAGAGGAAGGACAGGACGAGCCAAAAATCCCTCCATCTTAAAACTTCTGACCCCCATGTACAAACTAAAAACCGCCCTGTACGACACTAAAAAATTCTTCCCTCTACTTTGTAACTACTTCTACTATAATATCTAAACTTTTGTGAGTTCTTGTTCTTCCTGCAAGGTTGGTAAATTATTCTATGGTTCAAACCCCAAATCACAGCTGTTTCCAGCTGCCTGCCAGGATCTCAGATGCTTCTGACCTGGGCCTGGAACCTCCAAAAATGTCTGAGGGACATTTTGAGTTCCAACACTTCTCCACTCTCTTAAAACAACTCTGATTCCTTTACACTTTAAAATCCCATCCAGTAGTGACTCAAACACCGCCGGTGTGAGTGTGGAGAACTCATGGAGCTGCAGCAGGGCTTGGGTCACTCCAAACCTGGGTTAAAGCTGCAAAAGGGAAAGGTTCCTGCTGGAAGGAACCTGATTTGACGCCTGCAGAGACAGCTACAGCCTAAAACCTGGTGGAACAGGAGCCACCAATGTTCAGCTAACGAGTGCACGACACTGGTCGGTGGTGAGAGCGGTGAGATTAATTTTATTAACAAGGTCTTAGGGCAGAAGTGTCTGGGAAATTGGTTTGCTTTTGTGGGATTTACACTGTGTTTAGGTAAGTAAAATGTTCTCAGTGTTAACTCAGAAATATATATTAAGCTGGAAATTGGTTCATGGTTTTTCTCTTTGACAGCACACAGAGGAACAGTGCACCACAGGGCTTGGCTCCAACAGGGAATCTCAGTCTAAATAAAATGGGCAAATAAGTGCTCCAAAGCTCTCTAGCAACACTCTAAATCAATGGGTTTTTATTTCCAACTTAAAAAAAAAAAAGGAAAAAATATTTAGACATTTATAAATTAAAAAAAAAAATCTAAATTTTTATGAGGCTCTAACTCAGTTTATGGAATTTTTTTTTTTTCAGCTCTTGATTGACTCTCCTCTGCCTTCTTTCTCACCAGCTTCTATAAACAACCCAAACAACCACAACCACAAAGAGCAGGTTAGACAGAAAATCTAAATCCAATCTTGTTTGGAGAAATATTCTTCCCTAACATCGAGAGTTGACATTTTTATGTGCTATTTTCACAGGCTTTGGCAAGTATTTGGTACTTCACAGAACCAGGGAGGCTGGGATGAGTTGCAATCCCTTAGCATTTGCACAAGCCAGCTTGGAGGGGTGTTAAAACAAGAGAGTTTTCAGAGATACCACTGGTGTCATATCTTTGACCACAGATCTCAGGGGTGGTTAATGCACCATGTCCTTCCAGACACATCACTGAGAGCTTTGGGTCACTCTGAATAGATAATTCAAGGTTTTCGGGACAATTTATCTGCCTGGTCTTGCCCAGATAAAGCTCTGCAGGTGGGGCCTCACCTGAGGGGGCAGAGGGGCAGAATCCCCCCTTTCTCTGCTGTCCAGGCTGTGGGATCAGCCCAGGATAAAACTGGATTTCTGAGCTACAGGTGCACATGGTCAGCATGTGTCCAGCCTCTCATCCACCAGCACCCCCAAGATAAAGTCTTCTTTCCAGCCTTCCTGGAGTTTGTAATTAAAGCAGTCAACCTCCCTCATGTTCATTTCATCTTTCTCTATTATCTTTATTTTTGATGGCAGCAGAGCAGAACTGTTCCAGGAAAGATTTGGCCAGCAGAAGGAAGAAGATCCTGGTGGGGGACTGTAGGAGGAAGAGGTCTCACACTTCATTAGGAGAGCAGAGAAAAGCAGGCCTTCTGCTTCTTAGGGTTATTCCCAGGAACAAGTGATGCACAGAAAGTTGCTGGTGTTATTCAACAAGCAATTCCCTGCTTCCCCCCCCGTATTTTATGGTGACTAATCCTTCTGGTGCAGAGAGTGATGGTTTGCATGCAGCTTCAATGTAGGATGTGGGGTCATCTCTGTTCTGGAAGCAGCACATAATGACTTCTCACTCCTCACTGCACTTGCTAATGACAATTGGTTCCTATTTCAGAGATGTCAAAGCGGAGAATTTGACCCAAGATCATAAATGGAACTGAAATTTCACTCACGGTCCAGATTATAAAATATTCTTTTTAGAAAAGAAAGGGATGTAGATAAGTGAAGGCAATGCATGCCAGGATGCCTGGCTGTTTTACAGATTGAAATCAGGCAAATTCATCATTGTCTCTTTGACTTCTAAAAGCTTCTGCTTAATTTCACATGAGTGTGATAATAACAATTATTTGAAGTAGGTGCTAAATTGAGATTAACTGAGATTTATTTGCTTTGGTTTCTATTCAGTAACCTCAAAATTTGTCCCTTGGCTGACAATGGGAAACATTTAAAAATTTGAGAGAAAAAAGAAGAGAAATACTGATACAAAGTCTTTCAGAAGCCAAGTGTTTTGGGGTTCGTATCATTCAGTCCAAAGACAAAGGGGTTCCCTGGAGAGTAAATGAAAAGAAATTTTTTTGGAGAGAAATGTGGGCTGAATTGACCTCTGGAGGCGTCTCTTTATTTCACTATTTTCAGGTAGAACCTACAGAGACCTGATGTTGGAACCCTGGATATTGAGAATTTTAGACTTTCTGTGTTGAAAGGCACAGATCCTCAAGAAAACACTGAATTGGACCTGAAGCTGTAGAGAAAGCTTCCATTATTGATTATTAATAATAATAATGATAATGTTAATATTAATAATAATAATAATAATTATTATTATATTTAACACAAATATTATGAGTGTATATTTTAAATAGAAGTCTGTAACATCACATAGTGGAAAACTTAGAGCTTAAAGTTTTAGAATATAGAACCCCACTCCCCATTTGCTAATTCACCTTTTAAAGGTCAGCTTGGAGAAGGGCTCATCATCCCTGCATGGACCCCAGAGCAGCACTTTGGTCCCTATATCATCTGCTGCTTTAGGAACTGCCAGAATTCACTGCTAAAACCTTACACACTGCCCTTATTTATTTTTCATATTTTTTTCCTGCTGTTTCTGACCCGAGACCAAAGGTTCATGAAGTTTTTTTACTCCTGGAAGCTTATCAGTCTTTCCTGAACCTCATGTCCTGTACAGCCCGCTGGGTTTTTTCTACTCCCTTTACTTCTTGCTCCCCAAACTCCCTGCCAATCCAACAACAGAACAAAAATCTATTCTTCTTCACAGGCTGCAACTACATGTTCACCCCCCTCAGCCACCTTTCACACAAATTGGACTTTAACAGAAAGGAAAAACTGTGGAAAGCAAGGGAAAATAATTAAGAAAGAATTTAAAGAACACAATAGAGGTTCTCTTGGTGCTCTGGCAATGCCGCAACCCGTTGGGTGGCGGGAGCATGTCCCAGGAATTCCCAAATCCCCTGTGCAGCAGGAACACAAAGCAGAGCTCTGGCTGGGGGTCCTTGCAGAGCAGAGCTGGAGCAGAGGTTTCTGCAGGCACACAGCTCAGTCTGAGGGATGGACACTTGGGGATGTGAAGGCAGACTGAGGCTCTCTTCAGCACAGCCCTCAAGTCCTTTATGCACCTCTGCCTTTGCTCTTTTCTGTTTTCTTTCCCACTCAGAGCTGGCTCAGCTCTGCTCAGATCCCCTGTGAACTCCTGGAGTGCCTTGGCAATGTGTGACCGTGCACAGAGACCTCTCACCATATCGAGTCACAGAATCCCAGGATGGATTGGGTCAGAAAGGACTCTAAAAATCATCTCATTCCAACCCTCCCACTATCCCAGGTTGCTCCAAACCCTCTCCAACCTGGCCTTGGACACTTCCCAGGATGTGGCAGCCACAGATGCTCTGAACACCCTGTGCTGGGGCTTCACCATCCTCACAGTGAGGAGTTTCTTCCCAATATCCCATCTAAACCTGCCCTCCTCCAGCTTAACACCATTCCCCTTGTCCCATCACTCCATGCTGTTGTAAAAAATCCCTCTCCAGCCTTTTTGTAAGCCCCCTTTAAATACTGGAAACACATATTAATTAATTATTGAGATGCTTATGTTCAGCATTGACTAACACTGAGGTATGTCTTAAACAGCAGCAACAACTAAAAAATATGAGTAGAGGTTTAATATAAACACATTAACCTATTATATAAAGATATAAGTACTGCAATGTATGCTTGCAGTGAAATATAACTTTTTTTCTTCCATAATCTTTTTCTTATTGACTATGGGACTACGGGTGATTAATTTAGATTAGATGCTGAACTTTGAGTTAGGTGAGGTAACTCTTGCTTCTAACATTTGTTATCCTCTTTAGACTTTACCCTTCATGTCTCAACATGCAGCAAACCAGTAACAAACTCCTTCCTGTGGAATGACAATACTCTGTAAAGCTAATTATACCTAAGTCAGCGATTGATAATTTATACGCAAACAATATCCCAGAGAACTTTCAGATTTTCTATCAAAATCTAGTAAAGTTTCATGAAAATATGTGTTCTCTACAGTGAAGGGAGGACATATCTAACAAATATCTAGATATGGGAGCAAATATATAACAGCTAGATATTAGCTGGTTAGATCTGTAAAGCATCAAAATATAATTTTTATCCCTTTAGAGCTTTAGATGCTTGTGCTGCCATGGAAAAGACTGGAGTCACCGTATCTACTCAAGCATAAAGACAAATGTGGAAGGCTTGTTTCAAAGTGTAGTGTGGAAAATAAAACACCTGAAGTTATCACACAGACAATGGTCTGATCTTCTCCGGTCCTGACATCCTGGAAATTTTGGATGTCCCACCCCTGGAAGTACTCAAGGTTTGGAACAGCCTGGTCTAGTGGAAGGTGTCCCTGCCCAAGGCAGGAGTGGAATGGGATGATCCTGAAGCTCTCCTCCATCCCAACCCATTCCATAATTCTGTGAGTCTGTGACATCATTTCCTTGACCAAACATTTGAACTCCAAGGATCCTCAAGAGGATGTCACTGGACATCCTTCCCTCTCGAGGAATCAGAGGGGGAATGGGAAGAATTGGGCATGGGAATATCACATAATTTGGATATTGATCCCTGTTAAATCTTCATATCCACCCATCCAGGTGTACAGACCTCTTCCCCTGGAGTGCTGTTGGAATCATATCCACAAGCTACAGCGTAGGGTGCAGGGTACACATCTGACCAGCCCTGGCTTGTACAGTTCCTGGTCACATTCCCTGGAAGAAAAGGGAAAAAAAACATGATTTAAAAAGAAACCTTCAGCTCTCTGTTAAAACAACTTCTGCCTGTTGTGGTATAAATGCCAAAGCACGTTTCTTGTAACACTTAAAGAAAAACTCTCATACTTTTTCCCTGCTATTAATTTTTCATATTACACATAGTTTGTAAATAGGAGGCATCCCTTGTGTTTTAAAGTCCAGACCTCAGTAAAAAAGTACATTTTAATACAGAGGTGCACACAAAACATCTCTTCCAGTGGTACCATGCTGCAAGTTGTACCCAGACCTTTGGTTCCTGGCACTGCACCAGTATTGTTGAATGTTTTATTGTCACATTGACTTTGTTCCTGGAAAATTTTTATCTGAACAGAGCAATGAAGTATTTATGCCTTTCACTGTGCCTGTGAGAAGCCAGGACAGGGATAGATAAAGTGCTCATTTCACAGCATGCAGATAAGGCTGGGGGTCTGGGAACTAAATCCAGTCCTTCACACTCAGACCTTGCCTACAACTGAGCTCTGATCAAATGTGATTCCTGGGAAATGTACTGCACTCTGGTTTGTGAACAAAACACTTCAAAACTTGGCTGTGAAAGGAGAAAATTCACACACACTGTCAGCCTGTATTGCCTGTTTCAACTTGAATACTCCAGGGCAGGAAGACTTCCTGGACTGTCAAGCTCACTGAGTGCCTGGGGCCTCTGACCAGTTAAAGAGAGCTTTAATTAACACAAGAACATCTCATTCCTTCAGCCAAACTGTCAAACCTGAAGTTCCCGTGGCTCTTTGGTACTCAGAACTGCCTGATCCACCCAGGATTGTAAGAGCAAAGCGCTTCTCACTTTGTAAAACATCTCTGCTTCCTGTCCCAGCTGAACTTCAAACCTACATCAGCTTAATCCAGAAAAAGGAGAGACCAGCACTCAGGACAAGCCTTACCCCAAGAGGTTTGTAGGCTAAAAGGCCAAGATATGGGTTTGTCAAAAAATAACAAAGCAGAAGTGCACCCAACAACACATTGTAAATTCCCCCAGCCCCTTCCCTGACCACCAGTCCCCACCCTGCACACCTCACTAAGATCCCATTACTGGGGCATTCCAATGGTGCCATTCACCACACAAAACTGAAAAACTGGTTCAATACACCAGAAAGAGCAAACAGAAGTCAAACCTTGCTTCTTAAGGTGAAAAACGACACCAGCGAAGCTCAAAGAGCTTTGCAAACATTTCCAACAATGGAGCTCTTTGCACACAAGAGTAAGAAAACTCCTGCAAATGGGAGTTTTCCAAATCAATTATGCAGTTGTGAGTCACAAAAATATTTGTGTCCAGCAAGTTCTGACACTTGAGTCATCCGAGCATCTTCCCGACCATGTTCTGTACTGAAATTAGCAGCAGACAGTCCCCTGCCTGAAGGCACTTCTCCAGTCCCTGTGACAGATGGATATTGGCATTAAACTTGCCCCTTTAATCTGTTTTTGCAGTAGATCTGAGTCTGGGAGGGCTCTTGAAGGTGCCTTTGTTCATTTTCACAGCTGCTCCAGAAGAAGCAGGTTCAGCCCAGCTCCGTGGGCTGCTGTTCCAGGCTTTCCCTGCACTGTTTGCAGCTCTTCCCACCAGAGTTCATATCAGGATCATAAAGGATCTTGTGCAAACAAATCAATGACTGTTCAGTGCTTTCAGCTTTCTTGAGGTTATGCAATTTCTGTTATTTCTTTTTTGTTACAATGGATCCCATTATCTGAACTTCACTGCTTCCCATTTCCTGCTCAAATCTCTGTTTGAGGATGGCTTAAGATTTCACGGTGATCTTAAAAAAACACCTAAGGTGTGTTTCTTTCAGCTTATTTTTCTCATATTTCTTCTTTTCAATTGCACTTCCTCAAAATGTTATGATTATTTAAAAACTCTCACCTCTCTCAATACTTTCAAAAATTGTCCCAATGCTTTAGCAGATGTGGAAACCAAGGTAGAAAGAAGAACAATGGCAGAGCATCAGTGGGATTAAAAAAAAAAAAAAAAACTCTCACTTTAGGGAAACTCATTTCCCAGAGAAGTTTTTCTACCACCCTTTGCTGCTCATGTCACTCTTAAATGTGGAAATTCACACATGTGGTGTGATACAAGACACCTTTCTAAAACCTCTCATGTTCACCTGATGTCAGAGATACAAGAAGTAGAAGGTTAGAAAACAAAGATTTTATCACACCTCACTTTGCCACAAGTAATGGATGATGTCTCTCCTCAGACCAAATAACATTTCTAATTACTACTATCTAAAATATCACTTTCTATACTGAAAATGAGCATAACATTTAGGAAAGTGCCCCACAAGCTTAGCTTTCCTCTGAGGTTTACAGGCTCAGGTTAAACTGAAGTATCACACAGATTTTTATGTTCCAATGTCAAATCCCAGCTCTGCCACAGATCCCTGATGAAAACGAGATATTTTTGTGGTCTCTCTGGCTCTTGGTTTTTCCAGACTTTGGTCATAAAGTCTAATTATTTGTCAATGGAAAGACAAATTTTTCAAAGCACCAGAAGTTGTTTTTGCCATTTTCCAGAGCTCTTTCCCACTAATACGTGTAACACAAGTTCTCCTTAAAATGAGCACCAATGGAGTACATTGAAAATCTGGAGTACATTGAAAATTTGTTGTACATTGAAAATGACAGTATCAGAAACCACAAATTTTCTGCACTTAGAATTTCTCTCCAGTCTTTCCAAGTTCACTAGATTTCCCAAATGTTCCCATTTCCTATCAGACTGCAGCTAACATTTTCAAACTGTACTCCTGGAGATTTAATGAGAAACGAGACCAGGGATTTACAACTACATGTAATTAGCAATGCAGAGTGGAGGAGATTCACTCCTGAATCACTGAGAGATGGGAAGTATCTCCAGGCTCTCCTCTGTGTTGTGGAAAAAGAAGACAACAGAGTCCCCTCATTCTTGTGGTGTAAGTTAAAGCCATTAATTAATCTGGGCTTTTTTTGTGGGGTTTGTATTTAATTTATCAATGTTACCACTGTCAAACTGGTGTGTCTGTTCCTAAAAGCAATGAGAGGAAGTTTTCCATTAAAAAAATTTTGAAAAATCAACAACTAAGTCTCATTTATTTTAAAAATAAACTCATCATGCCTTGCAAGAGCTCAATGCTCTTTGCTTTCATGGCATCCCAGAATGGCAGAGGTTGGAAGGGACCTCTGGAGATCATCTGGCCCCAAACTCCTGCTCAGGTGTGGTCACCTAAAGTGGAAGCATGACCAGATGCCTTTTGGATATTCTTGGAATCCTTCAAGGATGGAGGCTGCACAAGCAAATCTTGTCTCAGAATTTAGAATCATGAAATCATCATGAAATTATTTGGGACCCTAAAGCTCAATTTCAACCTCCCTGACATGGTCAGGGAAACTCCTTGTTGTCACTGAGAGGAATTTCCTTCCATGATTTATTCATGATGCAGCAGAAGCGGAGGGAGGAGTTTGTAGAACAGAGATAAAACCAGAACATTTTCTTTATCAGAGGTTTTTGATCTGGGTGGGAGTTAAACACTGAACAGATGAACTGAATAAATGCACAGAGCTGTTGTCTTGCTCTTTAGTTTTTTTCTCTTAATTTCTTTCTGCCTCTCATCTGTTTCAAACTCTGAGACACGTCCGAAAGTTCATATTACAGGTGAAGTTTTACCTCTTTGATCATCTTGGAAAAAACCCTCTTATTGGCTTTTAATGGGAGTTTGAATTCAGACAAAGAGATCTGAGGTCAATCATGGCTCAGGGGTGTTGGTTTTTGCCCCCCTCTTGCTTTCTTTGCCCTTTTCTGTAATAACTTCTAAAGCAGAGGGAAAGCTGTGCTCTGCCCAGCAATCAGTCCTGCTTCCCTAGCATCATATTCCACGGACATAAATTGATTTTTTTCAAGCAGAAACTATTAAAGCAGCAATACTTCTGTTATTTACCATTCCTGAGACAATGCTGAGCCCACTGGCACATCTCTACTTTCATTTTTATTATTGATCTGCCTCACTGTTCCTGGGAAACACTTGAAACTTGCACTTAGCTGAATGCTGAAGTGCTTGGGCCTGGGAAAAACATGTGGGGAAAGTTGTGGCAGGATAATTTCCCAATTTGCTTCCTGTGCCTCAGCCTTGGTCTCACAATATCATTCCTTAAGTGCAATTTCTGCCCAGTGTTTAATGTTATTTTATATTTTTGTATTTCATAACTTCATGCCATAAGAGAACCTGTGGCATTGGGTCAGCACAGCAACAAGACCAATTTAATTTTCTTCCTTGGTTGTTTTTCACATTACTTGGCCTGCAGATTGTACTGCCGCATGTCCAGTGCCCTGAAACTTCCTGCACTCTGTTTTTGTGGCAAAACTCAATTTTCCCTTATTTTCCTCTCTCCTTCCTGCACATTTCACTTCTAAGAGTGAAGATCTTGATCCTTAATACAGAAAATTCCCCTTTCTTAACAATAACAACAATAAAAATGTTCCCCTTGATTAGGCGTATTTTGCAAACTGTTTTCTCATCCTAAAAACAGAGCTGTCAAATTTTAGGACGAAATTCTCTTTAGATCTTTTGATCCTGCAATTATAGGATTCCAAGAAACATTTAGGAAAAAAAAGATGCTCTATTGGGTAGAGGTGTAGCACCAATCCTTCAGAGGATGGCACAAGCATTGTGACAGCTCAGGTGCAAATAAATCATGGAATCATAGAATGGTTTAGGTTGGAAAAGCCCTCTAAGATCATCAAATCCAATCACTAACCCCGCACTGCCAAGGCCACCATCAAACCACGTCCCCAAGTGCCACATCCACATGGTTTTGAACTGCCAGGGATGGTGATGCCCTCTCTGAGCCTCCTTTTCTCCAGGCAATTTTGCCTTTCTGATATGAAGGACAGCAAGACACCTGAGCAGGTTGAAGTTCTCAGTGATCTCCACAAAAACCACACTCATCTTCTTGGGTATTTTAATGACCATTGTAGCAAATAAATAATGGGTATGGTTCATTTTGGGGTTCTTTAGAGAGTTGGTGTTGGCTTCTTCTCATCTGCTGCTCTCTGCTCATCCCTATCCTCATTTTATTCAATTTTTGCTCCAGTTTCAGAAGCAATGCAGAATAAAAAAGTTTTTCACGAAGGAGGGGAAAGGAGAGGGGAAATAAATTTAGAACACCCGAGGAAAAAAGGAGTTTGGCAAGCCCAAAACTCAGATGGATCTCACCTCGCTGAGTGGGATTCCAGAGCTTGGTTGTGCCCATCCCCACCCCCTTAGGTCAATTAATCTCAGAGCTGAAGCTTTAAAACTGTCAGTGCTAATTTAACTTGTGCACGGTGGACAATTTGCTTTTGGAGAAACTGTGAGACGTAAATCCCTATTACAAATGTCATCTTCCACGTATGGAAAGAGAGCTGGAACACTCTGGTCAAAGGGTGGAAAGCAATGCACCTTAATAATGAAAGGTGCCAAAAATATTTTCATCCATCTCCCTCACATGGCACTGACGAACGTCATGAAATAATGAAAATTTTCTGGGTCTGCGAATGCCATAAAAAATTAATGTCAAATGACATCAGGACAGTTTAAGGCTTTTAAATGCCATGAGACATTTTATCCTTTATTAACCATGAGATGGGATATCAGTCATTTGAAGAGCTTATTCTCCATGAGGCAGGAAAATCACATTAACTCTTTGTTCCCTGGTGTTTCACTCTTTTCCTGCTATAAATACATTGAAAAGATTTTCTCTGGCCCACAACTTGATAAAAGCTTTCACATTCTTGCAAAGGGATCAAAGAGTACGACACAAACATTACCCAGATGATTGAGTTCCTTAAAGCTGCTCACTGACACTCACTGCTACAAGGAAGAGCTACTTCACAACATTTAATGGCATTAATTTTGCAACAAATCCTATAAAACAGGAGGAAATCTTCTCCTCCCTCTATTTAAGACCATCACTGCTTTCCCTGTTTGTTGATGGTTGTGTACAAAGTGTCTGACTCAGAGAGAATCAAAGCTGCTGCTTCTGCTTTGGGAATGGCATCAGTTGTTCTGTTGGTGCTCTGCTGAGGCGGAATTCAATCCTGTTGGAAGACATTCCCATCTGCCAGAGCCACTCTGCAGTATTTTGGTTGAAATTTGAGAGAAATATGTTGTTTACAGATAGTATTAAACTCATCCTGGAGTGGGAATCTAAACACCAGCTGAACTGTACCTCTAAAGGACCCTGTTCCTCACCTCTGACTGTAAAACCAACTCAGAAATAGGCTGACTTATGGAAAACTCTAAAATCAGCTGATAAAAATGCCATTTGAGGTTGGAAATTTGGCTTCCTGAATACAGATATCTTAACAACGGTTGGGGAATCCTCATGGATTTTAAATCTTCCAACATTTATCAAATGGCACCAGATGTTTATGGTTGAAAACCTGAGTGGAGCCCTCAGGGTCTGTGCATTCCTACTCCAGTCAACAGAAAAATCATCAATAGAGCACCTCCAGAGCTGTTCAGGTACCTACACAGTGTCTTTAGCCAGTGCTGACCAGATTTCTGTGGAAATTAATGGGGTCCTGGCCACCAGTCTTGTACAGATACTCCAGCTTTACAAACAGCAGAAATTAAGAGTCCTGACTCTGCTTTCTCCAAAGAAACTCACTCTGTGCTTTACCAAACAGGTACTTTTGTGCTGCTGTTCATCTGATCACAGTAAATTGCTAATTCAAGTTGGGATGAATCACTGACCAAACCATTAAATCATAAAAACATAGAATGGATTGGTTGGAAAGGACCTTAAAGCTCATCTCATCCACCCCCTGCCATGGGCAGGGACACCTTCCACTGTCCCAGTTTGCTCCAAGCCCCATCCAGCCTAACCTTGGACACTCCCAGGGATCCAGGGGCAGCCACAGCTGCTCTGGGCACCTGTGCCAGGGCCTCACCACCCTCACAGGGAAGAATTTCTTTCTAAAAATCTAATCGAACTCAGTGTTTGTGAGACTGTGACAGACATAAGAACTGATAAACATCTGAGTTCCAACATGAAATTCCATCTCGCGATTTAATCCCAACCCTGACAGAAAAAAGAAGCAAAGAGTCCACAGGAAAGCACTCCAGGGATTTTAAATTTTCCTTCTGTTTCTGCAAAGAATTTTGGTGTGGCCTTGGGCAAGTCATGTAATCAGCATGTGCTGGTTAATGAGTGCAGTGCCCAGGCCTGTTGAACAGGGGTGATATCGTGTTCCCACCCCCACTCCTAATTTATCCGGTGGGTTTACACTACAAAGCTTTAAAACTGGAGGGTCAGCTCAATGCAGCATCTCCAGTGCAAAAGAACTTAATTCTTTATTAAGGCCTTCATGTCTTCTATAATAAAAATAGTGAAAAATAACTATAAACTACCAGGAGACACAATCAGCCCTGTTGCTGCATATCTCCTTGAGACCTGAGTTTTAAACTAAAGCTTCTCAGAACACTCTGAACAGTGAGTTAAGCTGCCTTCTCGATTAACCTCCATTGCCCATTATTTATCAGGTTAATTCCTTGACCTGTGGTCAGATTTGTCATTCCAGCAGGGAAAAACCCAAAACTTTATTACGTCCAGTTCCAGTTTGTTAATTTTCTGTCAGAGACTTAATTAATGATCGTACTAAACTGCTCATTTTGCGCAACAAACACAACTGTTCCACTGCTTGATTCAATTTTCACTGCACAACACCCATATTTTTGGATTTCACCAGGAGCTATTTGTGCATCCCTCTGATCCACAGCAGTGCTGCTGCAAGTGCAGGGAGGATGTATTGATGTTTGGAAATTCATGAATGGCTTGGAATCTCCTTTATCTTGGGCTAAGAGTTGGTTTCTCCCTCTTCATTGAGATGTTCCCCCTGTGGAATGATGAGAAACCCCATTGGGAGTGAAGCTGTGGAGCTGATTTGGGGTTTGCTTACCCAGGAAGGAGGTCAGGAATCTGAAGTACTTGGGGCATGGCCGTACCACGACTTCTCCCACCTCTGCTTCAGGCCAGCATGTGATGTTGTCCCACTGCCTCCTGCATCCTGGGGAAGAGAGAAAAAATAAAGCAGATGCTGGAGCACTCAGGAGTGCTGGATGCAGCAGAGCAGCTCTGCAAAGGTGTGTTGAGACCCTCATCCTGGCACAGGCACCTTCTGGAACAAAATCCCCTGAATATTTCCTTTAAACATGCAGCTTTCAGATCCCCCAGTCCCTAAAATTTAGCAAAAAGGCAGAAATTCCTAATTAAATATCTCTCTTCCTTGCCCTTGTCACTCCATGTTGCATTAAAACACCTGATCTGAACCTGTGAGGCATTGTCCCTTTCCTTCTGTGTTTCCCCCAAATGCCATCATCTTTTCCTTCCCATTGTGCATCACTCCAAGCAGGAAGGGGACACAGGTGACAATCAAGGGATCAAGGACTAAAATCCCTTTGTCAGAAGCAGTTTTCTTCTTTAAAAAGGGAAAAAGCACAAACCCCTGCTGGAGGCTGAGCAGGGCAGTGCTGTGGCCAGGAGAGGATCCCTAGGGAAGAGTGAGGGAAGGTGGCACATCCAAGCTAGGAATGAAGGAATAACCAACACAGGCAGAAAACACGAGGTTTTATCAAAATGAGGCATGGCTGAAGATTTTCTGGATAGAATAAAAGCTTTAGTGGAAAGAAAAATGCCACGTCCTTTCCACAGATTTCTCATGTTTTGATTTTGCCCTTTTATTTCTCAAAAAGCATTAATAACACCCCAGGCATGCTGCATTGTTGGATCATGTAACATTACTGTTGAAGCCAAAAGGAGTTGGCAGATTTGAATTAAAAGAAAAAAAAAAAAAAAAAAAGACTCAAACACATTTTTACATCAATATGTCACCCTTTTAGAGTTCTTAGCAGAATTTTGACATTTTCCCCCCTGCTTTATATTTCCAACAGCCAGGCACTTCAGTTGCTGCCTGGGTGAGATGGATGGGTTGTCAGCAGAGCTCCCTTTTCCCAGCACCTTTTTATTTGTCAGTAATTTGTCACAGCCCACCAGATGGAAACCTCCCCCAAATGTGACTCAGGCACTGTTGAGGTCAACAGCCCCACAGGAGAGACCCTGGGGTGTGAGGAACAAAGTGGTGACAAAACCTTGAGGAAAGACTCCTCACACGCCAGCAAAGGGAGCTATGAGAACTCCTGTCAGGCTGCACTTGTTGGTATTGGTTTATTAAAAATATGGATATTGATCTAGTATCGATATCCAACTGTGACGGACAAAAACTCTCTAACAGTTTAAAGTTAGAAAGTGTGTGTTTATTGTGTTTATTGTGTGTGGGACAGCTCCCAAATACACACCGTGCCTTCCAGGTGATTACAGAGTCCTTTTATCCATACAAGTATTGAATACCCAAAATACAAATACATATTCATCATTTTGGTACATCCCATTCCTCGTTTCATATGCTGATCATTTCAAAAGCCATTCAGCAGGCGTGGTTTGTTCCTTGAAATGGGTCAGTGTCCCTTTCATGGGGAGGGGTCCCAAAATGAGGAAGTAAATGAAGTCTTCCTCATTCTGACCTTTCTACCTTTTCAATGCAAATATGACAAATGAACTCTTGGTAGAACTCCCATTCCTTGTCTTCAATTGGTTTCAGAACAGAGGAGGCCCACAATTGTCTTATGTTCTAAAAGCTATTTGTCAGTTTGTGTATTCTTCATTATAAACCCAGCTAACTAAACATTGTGCTGACAAGCAATTAATTATTAGTTAACTACTAACTCTTAACTTCATCAAGGCCTACTCATTTATTTTAATTAACTCTAGTAAGGCTTATCTCTAACTAAAATCTTAGCTCCTCTAAAATCTCTAAATTCCTTAAAATTTACGTTTCAGTAATTACACCCAAATTCCTCCTTTAAATCATCTTTTACTCCCTGAGCTAAGGAAAGGGCTGGAGTCATCACCAGCCTGTGCAGAGTGAGGCAGATCTGTCTCAGATCAATAGAGAGCACACAGAAATGCTTTGAAGCTGAAAAAGAACCCTTAGCTCGCTTTCAAAGTGATTTTACAGGTTTTTACCCCACTCTTCTTTCATGGACAAACTGAACTTTTCAAATAATGAAGTCCTGAGCTGAGTTTATCAGAGCCTGAAAACTGGAATAACTGATGGTATCTCCCTCGTGCAGCTCTCCTGCAGAGCTCATTAAAAGCCACGTTCCAGGTCCCTGTGTCTGGTGCCCAGCTCTGCTCTCACAGCTCACACTTATCTCCCACCAAACAGCCAGCAGCTCCAACAGTGTCAGGATATTAAAGATTCCATGGAAAATGATTCCACAGCAGAATATTTCACATTCTACAATCTTTTCCTCCACCAAGCGCAATAAATTTGAGTGCAGCCATTACCTCACGATAGGTTATAGTACAAAATAAAAGCCATCTGATAGCATCAGATGGCTTTTTAAATGCCCTGAATTATGCACTCTGAGAGTTTTGGTGAGCTGTATCTTTTTCTCTGTTGACATTTTTCAATACCTCCTGTGAAGTGTGAAGAAAGCTTTTAGGTGCTTAGTTTTGTATAAAAAGCTTTTTTTTTTTTTTTTTTTTTTCTGATAAAAAGAAAGTGAAACTGGCCTTGGAAGACACATATAGTGTATTTTTACAAATTATTGCTTCTGTAAACACACCTTGTACCTGCCTGTTAGCTCTTAGCACACCAATCTTCCTCATCACTGCCCCAGACATGCTGAAAATATTTCTGCAATAAATAAAGAAGGGAATGGAAAGCAGAACTCTGGCTGGCAGTGCCTCTCACCACAGAATCAGTGAATCTTGGAATGGTTTGGGTTGGAATGGACCCTAAAGATCATCTCATTCCACATCCCTGCCACTGTCCCAGGCTGCTCCAAGCCCCATCCGGCCTGGCCTTGGACACTTCCAGGAATCCAGGGGCAGCCACAGCTGCTCTGGGCAACCTCTTCTAACAGGTCTGTGTCTTTCTTGGGCTAATTATCTGCAGTTCAGGAAAATCAGTAATTTTTTAGTGAGTAGAAAATAATAACTGGAGTTTAAATAATTGGAAAAATTGAACAATTGAAGATTAATACCTGCAAAATGCTTTATACGCACAGTCCAGTGCTGTAATAATCTCATCACAATTTCAGGTAAAACTTTGTGCCCTTTCATCTGACCCGGTACATAGACAACATTTATCCAGAAAATGCTTTTATTCTTCCAAAACTAATATATTTTATCCTGGAAAAGAGCTGGGATTGGGGGCTTGGCAGGCAAAAATCCATCTGAGAGCAGAAACAGCTGCACTGTGCCTTGAAAGAAGGAAATCCCTCTCTTCCCTGTGGCATCACTTGGCTGCAGCAAAGATGACAAGTTTGGGCTGCTCACGTCGTGTTTGAGGATTGATAAGTGCTTCCCCATTAACTAATTAATTATAAATATTATCTTCTACCTTGCACTCAGTGCCTGCAGGGAGGACACAAAGGTATTTATCAATCCTCACTCAGTGCAGCAAGTGCCAGTGAGTTAAAAACACACCTATTGTAAATGCAGGTGAACCTGGCGGGAAGAAATGACAATGTCTGTCTCCAGTTCAGAAGGCTGAATGATTTCTTTATTATAACTGTACTATAATACATTAATATACTATTTAAAGGAGATTCTAAAACTACAAACCTACCTTTTCTAACTGCCATATCTAACTCACAACTTGTGACCCTCTCTGAGAGTCCAGCCCCAGTTGGGTTGGATTGGCCATGAGGCTCAAACAATCCTCACCAGAATCCAACCAAGCAATCACCCCAGGTAAACAATTCTCCAAACACATTCCACATAGGAAAAACAAGGAACAGAAATAGAAATTGTTTTTTCTTTCTTTCCTCTGTGCTCCTCTGTGAAAAATTCTGAGAGAGAGAAGAATGCCACACACACCTACTCTCCATTTCCATCAAAAGAACTCTGCTCTGCTCATGTGCCTGTCCCAAAAAACCACGGGATGCACACATCCAGGGGCTGTGCTCTGGCTTGGGAAGGATCCCAGGTGAATCTGGAGGAGCAGTATAAAAATAAGTGTTAGGCTTTTCTAAATCAGGAGCACTTAGCACCTGTCTGGGTGCCACAGGTGCAGTATTTCAACTCTTGTCATTATAAAAATAAGCTTCAAAAAATTAAATAAATGTTTTTAAAAAGAAGGTGGGTTTTTTTTTTTGTTTGTTTTTTTTTTCTGTCGCTATTGGACACGAAATGAGTACACAGGAGCTTGGTGAGTTCAAGAGAAAAAAAGACTTGATTTTATTTCTGACCTCACAATATATAGAATTCTAAAAGTGACAGAGGATTGGAGGATGAAATTGCCACCTCTCTAACGACATTGGTCAAACCAACAGTCTATCACTTCTCTTCTCTTACAAAGAAGAATGCAAAACAATCATTACTTACATGAACAGTATGTGAGAACTCTAGTAGAAATATATAAACATCAGAAGGCATAAAAAACTTTTAAAAGAACTTTAAAACTTTTAAAAGAACTAGAAAAGAAAATGTAACACTTTTAAAAAACAGGGCAACATTTTCCATTTAAATTATTTAAACTGTGACTCCCATACCCTCAACCCTTCCCTTCCTTGCCAGACCATGAAGTGCTCTCTGGAGCTGAATATCTTTATTTGGAGGGCTGCAGGGAGAGATCCTTCATGTCTCTAAAGAAGCTGGAGCTCAGCTCCCTCTATCCAGCAGCTCAGCCTTCCTCTCTGCAAATCAAATATCCCCCCAACAAGTCACCAGCCTCACCCAGAGCCCTCCTCTAAGAGGTTCTGGCTCAGAAGAAGCTGCAGACCAGTGCCACGGTGGCTGCAGGGGATCAGGCACACCTTTCCCACTGGCTCTTCTAAAAGTGGATCAGAGCTCTCATTTCCTCTCCATTTGAAAGGTTAATAAACAGAAAACAGGTCAATGCTCACACTGGTTTGCAGACTGGCAGACTGGAGCATAAAAACCCATTTATTGGAGTCATATCTACACTTCCAGCAAATTGTGGTCAAAGCTTATCTAGGA